AAAGATCCCGAGTATAAATACTTGCAAGATACCTCCAGCTGGGGGAAATCAGAAAGGCGCAGATCAGGCTTCCATTCTGGCAGTCACAGGCAGAAATCATTTACCATGTCAGTGCCGGAAATAAAAGTCACTGATTCACCAGACAATGAGCTCATGGATTATGAAGAGGATGCAACCAGTCACCAGTCCCGAAGATATAGTGATGTACGGAGAAGGTCAAGCAGCTCTTCACCACATCGACCACAGTTCCGCCAGTCAATTCCAGACATTCAGATCCAAACCGTAGATACGGATGACCATCAAAGAGTACCAGAATATGAGACACAAGAATACTCAGACAATGTTTTTGACGATTCTCAGAATGAAGAATTCTTCAGTATCGATGCAGAAGGCAGGTCAAGGCGCAAGTCCCATGAAGAGACCTCGTCAGATTCTCAGGGAAGATATCTCACAGAAATTCTCAATACCAAGAGTCGGAGGTCCTTCAGTGACAGTTCACCAGAGAGGTATGGTCGAAGAAAGTCAGTTGCTGAACTAACACCTGAGATGAAAGCCCGCATATCTGTGTTTGAAGAAATAACAGACTTCCAGACAGATATGGCTGTCCCTAGTCACCTGACTGATGTAGAGGTCAGGAGAGTCAATGTTGAATATGGTCATGATCAGGATATCGAGATGAGCAATGATGAAGTGTTCAGCTCTAGCAGCAAAGGCTCTTCCCGACGATCGTCCACACATGGGGATGGTCTTGAAAGGCGAAAGTCAATCAAGGACAAGATTCTAGACATAGAGCGAAGAAAATCTCTCCGAGATGAATCTGTTGATATACCAGACGAGTATTTAGAAGTAAACCCAGCATCAGGAGGAAAACGACCAAGACCTGAGGAAGAAATGTTTCTTATAGAACGTAGAAGGTCAACAGGAGGTGAGCTGTTGGACATTAAACGCAGAAAGTCAACAAGAGAAGATGATCTAGGAAATTTAGAAAGGAGGAAGAGTAAGGATGAAAGTGCAGAAAGAAAGTTAAGCAGAGGCGAGATCCAAGATATAAACAGAAGAAGATCATCCACCAAAGGTGAATTGCAGGAGAAGGATAGGAGGATGAGCAAAGAAGAAATCATGACCTCTAAACGTAGAAGATCAACACGTGCTGAATTACAAGAATTAGAAAGAGAAAGACTCAGCAAAGTTGAAATGCAACTCAAGAGGAGGAAGTCATCCCATGGTAGTTCTCATGATGCAGATGGTAGCAGTCGTCGCGAAAGTGTAAATTCTGAAGATCCAAATATTCAGGCAGCTCTGAAAAGCCAGCTGGGGACTCTCCTATTGCTCCCAGAAGCAGGCAATGCAGAAGACTTATCTCATAATTTTGAGACCTTTAGGGAAACAACAGAAGAAACAATTACTCCTGCAGTTATGGCCCGAAGCTTCAGTGAGCTGGAGGCTTCAGAGGGAGTAGAGGATGCAGAATTAGAAGAACAATATTTGAGGGCCATATCTCCCTACCTGAAGTATCGCAAATCCATCAGTGAATTGGAACCTTACATGCAGTTTCAAGATAAAGCTAGTGAAATGAAACCTAAAATTCAAGCTCAACTGTCAGTCACCAGTGAAAGTCATAATGGTGAGGAAGGTTCATTAACAAGACAAGATACTGAGATGCGTAAATCAAGCATGAATTCTGAGCATAATGACGTAACTTCAGGTAGTGAAACTGAGTCGGATTTAGATGTGAAGTGGGAGGTTAATGAAACAGATAATTCTCAGCCTGTCATTGATATTGTGCCAGGCATAGGTAGACGAGAGTCCTCTGGAAGCAGAACGTCTAGAGGTGACCCAGAACTTGTCAACTACCAGACAGTAAATGCAAATGCTGGAAGTGGAGAGCGAGTATCTCGTAGTAATTCTCTTCGCAGGCGCAGCTCAATACCAGTGGTTGATGTAGACCCAGAACTACAAGCTCGTAGATCACAGCGATATCTGGAAATTGCAAGCCAGCAAACCGAGGGACTCTCCAGGGATAAAGTTGATGGGTCTGGAATATCTTCTTCAGATGCAATTTCACAGAATTCCTCGCCAGATGTTGAGGAACCGAGCTCTCAAATGTCTAACACTAAGGGTCGTAAGCCATCATCTGCACCATCAGAGGATCAAAGTGTTGAAATATCAAGAAATTATCTGGAAACCAATGACAAAGATGATGAAATCATCAACACAAATCCTAACAACCAGTCGAATCTTGATATTGAATGGAACTTTGATAAGCCTGTTACAGTTCGTAGGCTTTCCAACATTCCTCTAGATGAGGATGAATATATGACCAACAGGTCGAGTGGACCTAAATATCTAAATGTGCAAAGTGAGGAGGCCCTGGGAGGAAGTGAAATTACCGAGAGGAGAAAGTCCATCAGTGATGTGTTCCCTGAGATTGACTTCCGAAGATCAAGCAGCATTGGAGCAACACTCGATACAATTAACGGTGAAAGTGAGGCAGATATAATGCAAGATGAAGTTTCCACTACCAAGAACTCTTCCCACTCAGTGGCAGAAGTTCAGTCATCAGTGTTCTCTTTACCTGACCTGAACACTTTCATGACAGCACCAAGACCAGAAATGAATTCCGAGAACCAACGTCGCAGAAGTTCAGTTTCTAACTTATCACATGGTGGTCGAAGCCGAAAAAGTTCTGTTTCAGACCATTCACCTCAGGCAAGAAGTCGCAAAAGTTCTCAGTCCAATCTGTCAGCTGATATGAAAAACGTATCACCAGAAACACATAGTCGCAAAAGTTCTGTTTCAGACCAGTCAGCTGAGAACCAAAACCTTGGAGGCTCAGTCTCACCCAATGTGCTAAGTCGTAGAAATTCATCACTGTCACCACAGAGACGCAGGAGCACAGTTGGTGGCGAGTTTTTGTTCACACAGCCTCGCAAATCAATTGCAGAACTAACTCCAGCCATGTTAGCCAAAATATCAAAGTTTGAAACTGTAGCAGACGACTCACCTATAACTGCTGAAACACAAGATCCCGATTTCCAAACAGATAAGTCACCAGCCATGAATATGCCGGACATCCAGATCCAGACACCAAGTAGTGAGTCTGATAATGAAGATGAGTATGGACAAGATCCAAGTTTTTCACATGGGGTGGCCATACATGAGGAGTCTTCTGACATGGATTATCACAACATACCAAGGGAAAGGGCTAGACAGCTGTCGATTGATGAAGAACTGATGATATTAGAACGGAGATTGTCACAGACTGGAGATTTTCCAGTTGTTGGTGAAAGTACAGACTTCAAAAGACGTAGATCTGCAGCAAGTGAGACGCCAGATATTAAGAGAAGGAAGTCAAGTATATCTCGAAGTATGGGAGAGGAGGATGACATAAGTACAGGGGAAATATTACACTTGGAGCAGAGAAGACTTACAAGACACGAAATTCCTGAAGTATCTGACATGGAAAGCCTAGGATCAGATCGTCGAGGTTCTACACTAAGTAACATCTCAACCTCTGTGCATCGAGGTTCTGCTGTGAGGAACATATCAGATTATGAACGGCGAGGTTCAGCCGTGAGTAACATCTCAGCTTCCGAAAGGCGAGGGTCAGCTGTGAGTAATATTTCAGCCTCTGAACGGCGAGGTTCTACCAAGAGTAACATCGCTTCTGAACGGCGTGGTTCTTCTGTAAGTAACATCTCGACTTCTGAAAGGCGAGGTTCTTCTGTGAGTAACATCTCGGCTTCTGAAAGGCGAGGTTCTGCTGTGAGTAACTCTGAGAGGCGAGGTTCTTCTGTAAGTAACATCTCGACTTCTGAAAGGCGAGGTTCTTCTGTTAGTAACATCTCGGCTTCTGAAAGGCGAGGTTCTGCTGTGAGTAACATCTCTACTTCTGAACGACGAGGTTCTGTCATGCATAACATCTCAGCTTCCGAAAGGCGAGGGTCAGCTGTGAGTAATATTTCAGCCTCTGAACGGCGAGGTTCTACCAAGAGTAACATCGCTTCTGAACGGCGAGGTTCTTCTTAATAACATCTCGACTTCTGAAAGGCGAGGTTCTTCTGTGAGTAACATCTCGGCTTCTGAAAGGCGAGGTTCTGCTGTAAGTAATTCTGAAAGGCGAGGTTCTGCTGTGAGTAACTCTGAAAGGCGCTTCTGTGAGTAACTCTGAGAGGCGAGGTTCTGCTGTGAGTAACTCTGAGAGGCGAGGTTCTGCTGTGAGTAACATCTCGGCTTCTGAAAGGCGAGGTTCTTCTGTGAGTAATCTCTCAGCCTCTGAACGGCGTGGTTCTGCCGTAAGTAATATCTCTGAAAGAGAACGTCGTGGCTCAGCTAAAAGTGCTACTTCAGGCAGGAAACGTCAAGGCTCTGCTACAAGTGACATCAGCAAGCAACGTCGAGGCTCAGCCAGAAGTGATGTTTCTGATAAAAAACGTCGAGATTCTGCTAAAAGTGACGTTTCTAATAAGCAACGCCGAAGTTCAGCTAAAAGTGACGTCTCAGCTAAGAAACGTCGGAGCTCTGCCAGAAGTGACGTATCTGAAGTGCAACGTCGAGGCTCTGCCGTAAGTAACAGTTCTGCTAGAAGTGAAGAGATTGATGTAGAAGGTGAGTATTATGATGATGAGCACTATGAAGAAGGGGAATATATTGGTGAAGATGAAGAATATTATGAAGAGGAAGCTGTAGGAGACCAGGATGAGGAATATTTTGAAGAGGAAGAAGAGGTAGAAGGCGAAGAGGAATATGTAGAAGACGAAGATGGTGAATACTATGAAGAAGGTGAAGTCGAAGAAGAGGAAGAATATTACGAAGAAGAGGCTGAAGCAGAAGAAGGTGAAGAATATTATGAAGAAGTAGAAGCGGAGGAAGGTGAAGAGTATTATGAAGAAGGTGAAGTGGAGGAAGGTGAAGAGTATTATGAAGAAGAGGCAGAAGCAGAGGAAGGTGAAGAGTATTATGAAGAAGAAGGTGAAGTGAGAAGAAGAGTATTATGAAGAAGAGGCAGAAGCAGAGGAAGGTGAAGAATATTATGAAGAAGGTGAAGGGTATTATGAAGAAGAGGGCGAAGCAGAAGAAATAAATGAATACTATGAAGAAGGTGAAGTAGAGGAAGGTGATGAAGAGGGTGAAGTAGAAGAGGCAGAAGACTATTATGAAGAGGAAGGTGAAGCAGAAGTGGACGAGGACCATGAACGAGATGATGATCAGCCTGATGAAGATCACGGACATGGTCAAGCTGCTCAAGTCAGTGATTCTGATGAAAATGTTAAAGACACAGAGAGTCAGGAGACTAAATATCATAAGGAAGAAGCTGATGAGGATGATTTAGAGTACGCACGGCCTCTTACACCAGACAGGAGATACTTAGAATCACTTAGTGACTCACAGGAAGTGAGTGAAATTCCACACGATCAATCAGAGAACCTAACCAAGGAAGAAGATGAACGGTATCTGAGTGCAGCTTCTCCTTATTTGAATTATCGTAAGTCAATAAGTGAGCTGGAACCTTACCTCGATTTCAAGAAAGAGGTTAGTGACCTTAAACCTGAAATCCAGGCTCAGTTTTTGAGTAGTCATGAAAATGGCCATGATGAAGAACAAAGCCAAGCGCACAGAAAATCGATAGAATATGCAGAATCTGGTAGTCGTCGGGTTTCACAGACCTCACTCTCAGAAAGGAGAGCCTCCAAAAGTTCGAGAGGAGCAACACCAGACATAGAAATTAAGCCCCAGGAGCTACCCACAGTTGAGATTCACGACCCAAGCACTGACTCAGATACAGAAGGGGCAGCGACACTGAATATTCCCAAACCACAAGAACCTAGAAAATCGATTGGAGCTGATGTCTTGCAATTTCTGTTGAGGAGATTCAGTAGTCAGCCTATACCAGACCATCAAAACCTACCAAATGAGGACAGGGAAAATTCAGAGCCACAAACTGAACAGCATGACGAAAAACGCAAATCAGTTCAGTACAACAGTTCAGACAGCGAAACAATTCAAGAAATGGTAGGTGATGCAGGCCGACGAAAGAGCAGTGCAGTGAATCCGGAACTTCTTGCCTCTGGGCTGATCGAGGAACTTGAAAATCGGAGAAAGAAAAGCCTTAGTGAAAATCAACTGGGAGATGCTGAGGCATATCATTCTCTCCCTGAAGATGAGCAAGACACAGGAAACCAGGTATTGGAAGGGGAATGGAAACCTCAGCCACTTCCTCGTACGTCTTTCAGCCATGGAGAACAACTGGATGAAAACATCAAGGATGCTCATGATGTAGAATCAGATTCACAAGACATTGATATTGAAGTTTATCAAAGACTTGGAGGGGATTCATCGTCATTGTCACCAAGACGCTCAGTAGCAAGCATAGCATCAAATAAATCACCAAGGGCATCTCCTTCCCCAAGGAGTTCAACCACTGGCTTGGATATAGCCGAATCAGAATCCAGGAAATATTCTCATGACTTGTCAACAAATGCCGATTCTCTAGACATACAAGATATACCAAATCTGCGTCGCCGTTCAGTAGTTAGACTTGAACCAGAACTAAACTACCCCACTTCAGATGAGGAAGACACCAATTTAGCAGGAAGTATTGATGGTCTTCAAAGGAAGAAATCCAGTGCTAATTCTGATGCTCTCCAGTCGATTGACCAAAGTGGTTTAGAGGCAATGGTTCGTAGACTGAGCAGTCAACCAATACCTACCCACAAAGGCAGTATTGACCAAATGGAAGGTGAAGAATTACAAAAAGTTATCACAGATCCAGATTACTTATCTCCTCATGATACTTTGGCATTGGAAAAATTAATTGATGAACATTTAAAATCCCCAAGGGGTTCAACAGCTGCTCAAGAAACAACAGAGACAGATCTGGAAACTATAATAATGGAAACCTTGAAATCACCAAGGGGGTCAATCATAGGACCAGGGTCACAAAAAGGCTCACCTGCCTTGTCCCCAAGGGCCTCATCAGCAGGTCTGCAATATAAACTCTCTCCCCGTAATTCTTCTGCAGGTCTGAAAGACCAAGAAACACTAGTGAGAGAGAATCAACCTGAGGTACAAGAAGCTGGAGGTCTCGAAACTGAATATGAACAAAAAGCAGGAGGCCAGCCCCGTCAATCAATTGGAGCAGAGATATTCAACTTCTTAGCTCGTAGGCTTAGTACACAACCAACACCTGAACCTGCTGATGAAAATAGAGATGAGAATACCGAGTCAATTGAAGGATCAACAGTTCTGATTGACTTTCCATCAGTTAAAGAGCCTTCAGTAAGTCTAGGAGTACTGGAATCACCAAGGGGATCAGTTGCAGGGCTGGATGTTGAGATGATACCATCCATTAGGTCTCCAAGAGGCTCATCTGCAGGAATGGATTCAAGAAGGTCATCTAAAGCCTCTTCTGTAGGGCCAGAAAGAGCAAGATCACCAAGAGGATCTTCTGCAGGACTTGAAGCAGAAAGTTCACCAAGAAGCTCAAGGAGATCTTCCAGAGCCTCTTCTGCAGTACCAGAAGTAAGAAGGTCACCAAGAGGCTCAACTGCTGGACTGGAATCAGAAAGGTCACCAAGAGGCTCATCTGCAGGACTTGAAGCAGGAAGATCTCCTAGAGGCTCATCTGTAGGACTGGAAGCAGAAAGGTCACCAAGAGGCTCATCCGCAGGGCTTGAAGCTGAAAGATCCCCGAGAGGATCTTCTGCAGGACTAGAAGCTGAAAAATCACCAAGAAGCTCAAGAAGATCTTCCAGAGCCTCTTCTCCAGTGCCGGAAATAGGAAGGTCACCGAGAGGATCTGTTGGACTCGAATCAGAAAGGTCACCAAGAGGATCTTATGCTGGACTGGAAGCAGAAAGGTCACCAAGAGGCTCATCCGCAGGACTGGAAGCAGAAAGGTCACCAAGAGGCTCATCTGCAGGACTTGAAGCAGAAAGGTCACCAAGAGGATCTTCTGCAGGACTAGAAGCTGAAAAATCACCAAGAAGCTCAAGAAGATCTTCCAGGGCCTCTTCTCCAGTGCCGGAAATAGGAAGGTCACCAAGAGGCTCATCTGCAGGACTGGAAGCACAAAGGTCACCAAGAGGCTCATCCGCAGGGCTTGTAGCAGATTATAGTACTGAGTCAGCTGAAGGCTCTATGGAAGATCTGACTGACATTCCATCAGTCAAAGAACCTTCAGTAAGTCTAGGTGTCCTGGAATCACCAAGGGGGTCGGTTGCAGGGCTGGATGTTGAGACGTTACCATCCGTAAGGTCTCCCAGAGGCTCATCTGCAGGACTGGATTCAAGAAGGTCATCTAAAGCCTCTTCTGTAGGGCCAGAAAGAGCAAGATCTCCTAGAGGATCATCTGCAGGACTTGAAGCAGAAAGGTCACCAAGAGGATCTTCAGCAGGGATAGACTCACGAAGGTCATCTAGAGCCTCTTCTAAAGGACCGGAAAAAGGAAGATCGCCAAGAGGTTCTTCTGCAGGAATGGAAATAGACAGATCTCCAGAAAGGTCTCCAGAAGTATCGGCCGGACCAGAAGCAGAGAGTCAACACCGTCAATCGATTGGAACAGAAATATTCAACTTCTTGGCTCGTAGGCTTAGTACCCAACCAACACCCGAACTTGTTGCAGAAGAAGTTGACTCTAGAGACTCAACCGCAGCAATAGATTCAAGGAGGTCATCTAGTTCCTTTTCTACGGGTCTGGAAAGGGGGAAATCGCCCACGGGCTCTTCTGCAGGACTGGAAGAAAGTATGGATTACGATACAAACTCAGTAGAAGTAAGAGATTTAAATGAGATTCCACAAATGGATGAGTTGTCGGTACGTTTAGGCGTCCTGGAATCACCAAGGGGGTCTATTGCAGGACTGGACACTCAGATAATGCTTTCTGAAAGGTCACCAAGAACCTCCTCTGCAGGGATAGACTCAAGAAGGTCATCTAAATCCTCCGCAGGAACAGAAAAAGGATCACCAAGAGGATCTTCTGCTGGACTGGAGACAGAAAGGTCACCAAGAGGCTCATCTGCAGGACTGGAAGCATCATTCATCTTGTAAGGTCACCAAGAGGCTCATCTGCAGGACTTAAGAGAGGGGATCATCATCTGCAGGACTGGAAGCAGGGTCACTGGACTGGAGCAGAAAGGTCACCAAGAGGCTCATCTGCAGGACTGGAAGCAGTAAGGTCACCAAGAGGCTCATCTGCAGGACTGGAGACAGAAAGGTCACCAAGAGGCTCATCTGCAGGACTGGAAGCAGAAAGGTCACCAAGAGGACTGGAAGCAGTAAGGTCACCAAGAGGCTCATCTGCAGGACTGGAGGCAGAAAGGTCACCAAGAGGCTCATCTGCAGGACTGGAAGCAGAAAGGTCACCAAGAGGATCTTCTGCAGGACTGGACTGGTCACCAAGAGGCTCATCTGCAGACAAGGCAAGGTCACCAAGAGCTCATCTGCAGGACTGGAAGCAGTAAAGGTCACAAGAGGCTCATCTGCAGGACTGGAAGCAGAAGGTCACCAAGAGGCTCATCTGCAGGACTTAAGGTCACCAAGAGGCTCATCTGCAGGACTTAAGGTCACAAGAGGCTCATCTGCAGGACTGAAGTAAGGTCACCAAGGGCTCATCTGCAGGACTTGAAGCAGTAAGGTCACCAAGAGGATCTTCTGCAGGACTAGAAGCAGAAAGGTCACCAAGAGGCTCATCTGCAGGACTGGAAGCAGAAAGGTCACCAAGAGGCTCATCTGCAGGACTGGAAGCAGTAAGGTCACCAAGAGGATCTTCTGCTGGTTTAGAAGCAGAAAGGTCACCAAGAGGCTCATCTGCAGGGCTTGCAGAAAGGTCACCAAGAGGATCTTCTGCAGGACTTGAAACAGAAAGGTCACCAAGAGGTTCATCTGCAGGACTGGAAGCAGAAAGGTCACCAAGAGGCTCATCTGCAGGGCTGGAAGCACAAAGGTCACCAAGAGGCTCATCTGCAGGACTGGAAGTAGAAAGGTCACCAAGAGGCTCATCTGCAGGACTGGAAGCAGAAAGGTCACCAAGAAGCTCATCTACAGGACTAGAATCAGTACGGTCACCAAGGGGCTCTTATGCTGGACTGGAAGCAGAAAGGTCACCAAGAGGCTCATCTGCAGGACTGGAAGCAGTAAGGTCACCAAGAGGCTCATCTGCAGGACTTGAAGCAGAAAGGTCACCAAGAGGCTCATCTGCAGGACTGGAAGCAGAAAGGTCACCAAGAGGCTCATCTGCAGGACTAGAAGCAGAAAGGTCACCAAGAGGCTCTTCTGTTGGACTGGAAGCTGAAAGGTCACCAAGAGGCTCATCTGCAGGAAGAGAATCAAGAAGATCATCTAGAGCCTCTTCTCCAGGACTTGAAAGAGGAATATCACCTATGGAGTCCTCTGTTGGACTAGAACCAGAAAATGAAGATTACGATATTGAATCTGTGGAAGTGAGAGATCTGAATGAGATTCCACAGGTGGAAGAGTTATCAGTACATCTAGGTGTCCTGGAATCACCAAGGGGGTCAGTTGCAGAGCTGGATGTTGAAATGATACCATCCGTAAGGTCTCCCAGAGGCTCATTTGCAGGACTGGATTCAAGAAGGTCATCTAAAGCCTCTTCTGTAGGGCCAGAAAGAGCAAGATCACCAAGAGGATCTTCTGCAGGACTTGAAGCAGAAAGGTCACCAAGAGGCTCCTCTGCAGGACTGGAAGCAGAAAGTTCACCAAGAAGCTCAAGGAGGTCTTCCAGAGCCTCGTCTGCGGTACCAGAAGTAGGAAAGTCACCAAGAGAATCTGTTGGACCTGAAGCAGAAAGGTCACCAAGAGGCTCATCTGCAGGACTGGAAGCAGGAAGGTCACCAAGAGGCTCATCTGCAGGACTGGAAGCAGAAAGGTCACCAAGAGGCTCAGAAAGTCATCTCTGAGAGGACTCATCCGCAGGACTGGAAGCAGTCACCAAGAGGCTCATCTGCAGGACTCAGAAAGGTCACTCTGCTGGACTGGAAGCACAAAGGTCACCAAGAGGCTCATCCGCAGGACTTGTAGCAGATTATAGTACTGAGTCAGCTGAAGGCTCTGTGGAAGATCTGACTGACATTCCATCAGTCAAAGAACCTTCAGTAAGTCTAGGTGTCCTGGAATCACCAAGGGGGTCGGTTGCAGGGCTGGATGTTGAGACGATACCATCCGTAAGGTCTCCCAGAGGCTCATCTGCAGGACTGGATTCAAGAAGGTCATCTAAAGCCTCTTCTGTAGGGCCAGAAAGAGCAAGATCTCCTAGAGGATCATCTGCAGGACTTGAAGCTGAAAGGTCACCAAGAGGCTCATCTGCAGGACTTGAAGCTGAAGTTGCAACTTGAAGTTGAAAGGTCACCAAGAGGATCCTCTGCAGGACTGGAAGCAGAAAGTTCACCAAGAAGCTCAAGGAGATCTTCCAGAGCCTCTTCTGCAGTACCAGAGGTAGGAAGGTCACCAAGAGGCTCATCCGCAGGACTTGAATCAGAAAGGTCACCAAGAGGCTCATCTGCAGGACTGGAAGCAGAAAGGTCACCAAGAGGCTCATCTGCAGGACTGGAAGCAGAAAGTTCACCAAGAAGCTCAAGGAGATCTTCCAGAGCCTCTTCTGCAGTACCAGAGGTAGGAAGGTCACCAAGAGGCTCATCCGCAGGACTGAAGCAAAGGTGAGGCTCATCTGCAGGACTGGAAGCAGAAAGGTCACCAAGAGGCTCATCTGCTGGACTGGAAGCAGAAAGGTCACCAAGAGGCTCATCCGCAGGACTTGTAGCAGATTATAGTACTGAGTCAGCTGAAGGCTCTATGGAAGATCTGACTGGCATTCCATCAGTCAAAGAACCTTCAGTAAGTCTAGGTGTCCTGGAATCACCAAGGGGGTCGGTTGCAGGGCTGGATGTTGAGACGATACCATCCGTAAGGTCTCCCAGAGGCTCATCTGCAGGACTGGATTCAAGAAGGTCATCTAAAGCCTCTTCTGTAGGGCCAGAAAGAGCAAGATCTCCTAGAGGATCATCTGCAGGACTTGAAGCTGAAAGGTCACCAAGAGGCTCATCTGCAGGACTTGAAGCTGAAAGGTCACCAAGAGGCTCATCTGCAGGACTTGAAGTTGAAAGGTCACCAAGAGGCTCATCTGCAGGACTGGAAGCAGAAAGTTCACCAAGAAGCTCAAGGAGATCTTCCAGAGCCTCTTCTGCAGTACCAGAGGTAGGAAGGTCACCAAGAGGCTCATCCGCAGGACTTGAATCAGAAAGGTCACCAAGAGGCTCATCTGCAGGACTGGAAGCAGAAAGGTCACCAAGAGGCTCATCTGCAGGACTTGAAGCACAAAGGTCACCAAGAGGCTCATCTGTTGGACTTGAAACAGAAAGGTCACCAAGAGGATCTTCTGCAGGACTTGAAACTGAAACTTCAAGAAGCTCAAGAAGATCTTCCAGAGCCTCTTCTCCAGTGCCGGAAATAGGAAGGTCACCGAGAGGATCTGTCGGACTTGAATCAGAAAGGTCACCAAGAGGCTCAACTGCAGGACTTGAAGCCACCGAGATTGAAATGGAAGAGTCATCAAGAGCTTCCGATAGCCTAGAAGCAGAAAGTCAACCTCGTAAGTCAATTGGAGTGGAAATATTCAACTTCTTGGCTCGTAGGCTTAGTACCCAACCTACACCTGAAATTGTAGCAGGAGATTATAGTACTGAGTCAGCTGAAGGCTCTATGGAAGATCTGACTGACATTCCATCAGTCAAAGAACCTTCAGTAAGTCTCGGTGTCCTGGAATCACCAAGGGGGTCGGTTGCAGGGCTGGATGTTGAGACGATACCATCCGTAAGGTCTCCCAGAGGCTCATCTGCAGGACTGGATTCAAGAAGGTCATCTAAAGCCTCTTCTGTAGGGCCAGAAAGAGGATCATCTGCAGAACTTGAAGCAGTAAGGTCACCAAGAGGTTCATCAGCAGGACTGGAAGCAGAAAGGTCACCAAGAGGCTCATCTGCAGGACTGGAAGCAGAAAGGTCACCAAGAGGCTCATCTGCAGGACTGGAAGCAGAAAGGTCACCAAGAGGCCAAGGACTGGAAGCAGAAAGGTCACCAAGAGGCTCATCTGCAGGACTGGACAGAAAGGTCACCAAGAGGCTCATCTGCTGGACTGGAAGCAGAAAGGTCTCCAAGAGGCATCTGCAGGACTCAACACTCACTTGGTAAGGTGAGCTCATCTGCAGGACTGGAAGCAGAAAGGTCACCAAGAGGCTCATCTGCAGGACTGGAAGCAGAAAGGTCACCAAGAGATTCATCTGCAGGACTTGCTCACCAAGAGGCTCATCTGCAGGACTTGAAGCGCAAAGGTCACCAAGAGGCTCATCTGCAGGACTGGAAGCAGAAAGGTCACCAAGAGGCTCATCTGCAGGACTTCACAAGAGGCTCAAGGACTGGAAGCAGAAAGGTCACCAAGAGGCTCATCTGCAGGACTTGAAGCAGAAAGGTCACCAAGAGGCTCTTATGCTGGACTAGAAGCAGAAAGGTCACCAAGAGGATCTTATGCTGGACTTGAAGCAGAAAGGTCACTAAGAGGCTCATCTGCAGGACTGGAAGCAGAAAGGTCACCAAGAGGCTCTTATGCTGGTCTAGAAGCACAAAGGTCACCAAGAGGCTCATCTGCAGGACTAGAAGCAGAAAGGTCACCAAGAGGCTCATCTGCAGGACTTGAAGCAGTAAGGTCACCAAGAGGCTCATCTGCAGGACTAGAAGCAGAAAGGTCACCAAGAGGCTCATCTGCAGGACTAGAAGCAGAAAGGTCACCAAGAGGCTCATCTGCAGGACTGGAAGCAGAAAGGTCATCTGTGGTCACCAAGAGGCTCATCTGCAGGACTAGAAGTAGAAAGGTCACCAAGAGACTCTTATGCTGGACTGGAGGCAGAAAGGTCACCAAGAGGCTCATCTGCAGGACTGGAAGCAGAAAGGTCACCAAGAGGCTCAGCAGGCTGAAGCAGTGGTCGCCAAGAGGCTCATCTGCAGGACTAGAAGCAGAAAGGTCACCAAGAGGTTCATCTGCAGGACTAGAAGCAGAAAGGTCACCAAGAGGCTCTTATGCTGGACTGGAGGCAGAAAGGTCACCAAGAGGCTCATCTGCAGGACTGGAAGCAGGTCACCAAGAGGGCTGGACTGGAGGCTCATGCAGGACTGGAAGGGTCACCAAGAGGCTGCTGGACTGGAGCAGAAAGGTCACCAAGAGGCTCATCTGCAGGACTAGAAGCAGAAAGGTCACCAAAGAGTCTGCAGGACTGGAAGCAGAAAGGTCACCAAGAGGCTCTTATGCTGGACTGGAGGCAGAAAGGTCACCAAGAGGCTCATCTGCAGGACTTGAAGCAGAAAGGTCACCAAGAGGCTCATGCTGGACTGGAGCAGAAGGTCACCAAGAGGCTCATCTGCAGGACTAGAAGCAGTCACCAAGAGGCTCATCTGCAGGACTAGAAGCAGATCTCTTATGCTGGACTTGAAGCAATAAGGTCACCAAGAGGCTCATCTGCAGGACTCAGAAAGTCACCAAGAGGCTCATCTGCAGGACTGGAAGCAGAAGGTCACCAAGAGGCTCTCTGCAGGACTGGAAGGGTCACCAAGAGGCTCATCTGCAGGACTGGAAGCAGAAAGGTCACCAAGAGGCTCATCTGCAGGACTAGAAGCAGAAAGGTCACCAAGAGGATCTTCTGCTGGACTTGAAGCAAGTCATCATCTGCAGACCAGAAAGGTCACCAAGAGGCTCATCTGCAGGACTGGAAGCAGAAAGGTCACCAAGAGGCTCATCTGCAGGACTGGAAGCAGAAAGGTCACCAAGAGGCTCATCTGCAGGACTGGAAGCAGAAAGGTCACCAAGAGGCCTCATCTGCAGCTGCATCTCATCTGCAGGACTGAAGCAGAAAGTCACCAAGAGGCTCATCTTCACCAGAGGATCTGCTGGCCCACAAGAGGCTCATCTGCAGGACTGAAGCAAAAGGTCACCAAGAGGCTCCTGCAGGACTTGAAGCAGTAAGGTCACCAAGAGCTCATCTGCAGGACTGGAAGCAGAAAGTCACCAAGAGGCTCATCTGCAGGACTGGAAGCAGAAAGGTCACCAGAGGCTCATCTGCAGACTGAAGCAGAAAGGTCACCTCATCTGCAGGACTGGAAGCAGAAAGGTCACCAAGAGGCTCATCTGCAGGACTGGAAGCAGAAAGGTCACCAAGAGGCTCATCTGCAGGACTGGAAGCAGAAAGGTCTCCAAGAGGCTCATCTGCAGGACTTGAAGCAGTAAGGTCACCAAGAGGCTCATCTGCAGGACTGGAAGCAGAAAAGAGGCTCATCTGCAGGACTTGAAGCAGAAAGGTCACCAAGAGGCTGCAGGACTGAATCAGAAGGTCACCAAGAGGCTCATCTGCAGGACTTGAAGCAGTAAGGTCACCAAGAGCTCATCTGCAGGACTGGAAGCAAAAGGTCAAGAGGCTCATCTGCAGACTGAAGCAGAAAGGTCACCAAGAGGCTCATCTGCAGACTTGACAGTAGGTCACCATCACTTTCACCAAGAGCTCATCTGCAGGACTTGAAGCAGAAAGGTCACAAGAGGCTCATCTGCAGGACTTGAAGCAGTAAGGTCACCAAGAGGCTCAAGGACTTGCAGGACTTGATTTCTGCAGACTGAAGCACTCAGCAGGACTGGAAGCAGAAAGGTCACCAAGAGGCTCATCTGCAGGACTGGAAGCACAAAGGTCTCCAAGAAGCTCAGCTGTTGGAATAGAAACAATGTCAATTGAAGAGCCAGACCAGTATGAATCATTAACAGTCAACGAAACGGATGACCAGCAATATCTGAAGAGAGAACTTGAACCTCGAAGGTCAATCGGTGCTGAACTCATCAATTTCTTTGCACGTCGGCTCAGCATTCAACC